CCAGGAGGGAAGTCGCTCATCTGGATCCTCTCCTAACTGGAGGCTTCCATGAAGCTCACTACACCCCTCACCCCAGCTCTGATGAGGCTGGGTGTCTGACCCCCTCTCCCAGGAGAGAAGTCTAAAACCATCCTAAAAACCAGAATCCTTATTCTATTCAACCTGAATGGTTAACCTACATGAAACAGAAGGAACAGAAGCGGAGACATACCCTCGGGTTAAGAGTAAAAATGCAACACCATCTAAAAGAATACAACCCCAAAGCCCACATCCGGAATCTCACATAGCTTCTCTGCAGGAGGCGGATTAAACAAAAGAAAATAATTTCAATATCTAAGGGATAATGCACAGGAGAGGAGAAAACTCTTTAAAGAAAACTCTGTGGTGAAAAGCATTCCCTCTCCTCCCTTAGGGGAGAAAGAGAGAGAAGAGAAAAGAGAGATAATTAGAAGAAATATAAGGCCCTGGATTTCAGGTTTCTGAAACCATTTCTTCAACCCTCTGAGGACAATCAGCTATCTCTGAATCCAGAAAAGTCTCAGTACTAGAAAACCACAGCCAAATAAGGCAGGGCGATCCGTGAGTGGGTTCTGCAGTCCCCGTTCTTTTTCCCACATTTCAGAAATGCTTTTGGCTAAAGCTAAAAAGTAAAAAGGCAGATTCCAGATCAAGCACGCTCTGCACACCAGGAGGATAATGCTGGATCACACAGCCCTGCAGAAGTTGTGACAGAGAGAGAGCAAAGGAGCTTTTGTGATGGAGCCGTAAGTGCCAGAAGTCCTGCCCTGCCCCGGTGACAGGTGACAGACCTTTACCTACTCAAAAGAGCCTTGCGTTTCTTCTATCCGCAGCATCGCCTGGGTGTTCCAATTCTTTATCCTACTTTACTCTATCTTATAATCTGTGTTATATTTGCTGCCATCAAGGGTCTTTGCGTACTTCAAAGTTTTGCTGTTTGAATGAACACTGCTGTCTATCGGCTTTCCTCCTCTAGACTAGCAGCTCTGATATCTCCCAGTCCCACCTGCGCCCTGGCTGGTACCTGAGAGCTTGGCCAGTTCCACTGGCATGGCTACCTGGCCATGCTTACAGCCCTCTAAGGCCTCAAAGGGTGACCCCACTTGGTCCCCCGTGGCAATCTGCCTGGCTTCAGCTGAGAATGGGTGCATCTGCCTTCTCCATATTGCTTGAGCTGCGCGGGTTGCTGTATGCCTATTGATTGGGACTTACTAATTCCTAGAGACCGAGTCTGGAAAACGGCTTCTTGGACAACTTACAAAGAGAATTTAGATTCTCTGAAGGATGTTAAAGTGAAGGATTCTGCCATCCGGAAAAGATGGGTGTTTCCCTAAATTGCTGTCAGAGGGCCCTGTATTCTCAAGTTAATCCTGGAGGAGTTTCAGTCCTGAATGATGGTTCACTCAACTGGAGTAGAGTTCCGTAAATGTGCTGATTTGAAGACCACCGAAGTTTGCTTCTCAGGATGCTGGCATATGCCTGGGCTTGGCCTGGGCTTGGTGGAGTGGCCCACCTTTCTGGCCAGTGTCCTGTGCTTGAGGCAGATTAAAATACCAGCAGACTCACTGGCTAATTTCCCATGAAATCTGTTTACCCCATTTGGGGTCCTGTCCTTTCTGGGACTGGCTGGTTATGCTCAGCTCGTCCTGGGGACAAATGCTAATTTTTCATCTCTCAGCAGGAAACACAGTCGGCAGATTTAAAGCTGCTTTGATTCTAATGCTTTGACACTTCCTTCCAGGTCACCCTCAATAACCTCAGGACACCTTTACTGTTCTGTACAAGAGCTCAGTGCTGGCAAGACAACGCGGACGGACCAGTTCTTGCTACCGTGTTACAAAACCAAGCCTTTCGATGCCCCAAAGTTTTTCGTTCACCCAACGTCGTTTAAGTACCTACTGTGGGACATGCTTTCTCTTAGGGGAGGCTGGGGGGAGCTCCATAAAGAGATGTTCAAATGAAAGAAGGGGCTGATGGTTTCTGGCCAGAATCTTGGTATTTTCTATAAAACGAAAGTGTGGCATGGTAAGAAAACCCGGCCTGGGATGAAGAGAAGAAAACCCGAGAAAACCTTTTATTGATGCTGGTGCTGGGCTTGGCAGCTGCCCTGGAGCAAAAATAAACTCCTCATGGCAGTGGGACAAGACGCTGATGTTGGCACCTGCCAGGGGCAGACAGCCCAAGTCACAGCTGTGCTGGTCAAATGAGTCTGGAGACCTTAGGGGACGAGGACCTCAATGACTGGTAACAGGCTGTGGTTCTCTGCAGGCAGTTTACTGAAAACAGGGTTTGTGCGCCCCCCCACCCGTCTGGGCTGGATCTCAGAACAATCAGAAGTGCAGGTGGCGCTTCCCGCTGAACAACCCTAGGCTATCTCCTGGAAGGGAGGGGGAACTCATCAGAGAGCACCGGGAGCAACAAAGGGATGCCTGGTGAGGATGAGCAGACAAGACCATTCCCAAGGCTAAGAAGAGGGAGCTCAGAAGAGGGGAGGGTTGGATGGAGGAACTTCCTACTTGGGGGATTATCATCACCCTCAGATTGCCTGACTCCTGAGAGAGGCTTCTCTGTCTTCAAAAAGCCAGGGGTCCATGTACAATGGGCATCTGGGTAGGACTACATTTAGAATGAATCCACAGGAAGGGGCCCTGTTAAATACTTTAATGATAAAGAACAGGAATGGGCACTGGGGCACCAGTAACTGACATGAAAGAGAACAGAGTCAGCCCACTGTCTTAAGACAACTCTCCTTGTGAAATGAAATGTCCCATCAAACACACCCCAGGATGGAGGCAGCAGCAAAACCCACAGATTTAAAGCCTCTGCTGGGAGAATGTGTTCAGACATATAGTCCTCAAGAAGAATTCTAGATAACAGATTTAGAACAAACGGTCACTGGAGAAGAAGAACTGGGTCCAGAAGTGTCAGATATATACATGAGATTCCTATCTTAGGGATAAGAAGAAAAGGTAGCTTCTAAGGGTTTCCAACTGAATTCTCAGCTGTTCTACAGTTTTAGAATCTCTAAAAAGAAATTTCTTCCGATGTTGTCCAGATATTAGCTCTGGCTTGTTTTCCACAAAGGCACTGCTGTCTAATTCAAGGGACTCTGGCTATTCTTGTGAGGACAAGATTCCTACATGGATCAAGAAGGAACATCAGTGGACCGCATGACCCTTTCACCCCTGGCACCTGGCCTCATGCTGCACCTTGATTTTGCTTCATCTTTCCAAACTCCCTGAGTTCAGGGCAGACAGGTCCTTCTATCATCCCTGTACCCAAACCCTTGGCAATTCATGCCCATCTGTTGCCATTGCTTTTTGGTCTTTCTCGAAAAGATGGGTCTCCCATGGTCTCATTTGCTTTATCAAAGAGCAGAAGCAACAAAGATCACAGGGGTATGAATCCAAGAGATCAGGAACAGCGTCGAAAGGGAATTGGAAAATGCGAGTTCATTTAAGCAGCCCTCTCTGATCTACAGTTCATTGACTCAAATAAGTCATGCATGTCGGACTACATGAATGAAAACTTTTTTCCAGATGACAGCTCCTCCAAGGCCACTATTTTGTAAATAGTAACAACAGAAATACATTTTTGCTAGATTCTAAGAAAAGAATTTGCTAATTATACAAACTCCCACTGTTTTTTATATCTCTTTTCCCAACAAGCACTTAACACTGACTCAAAAATGCTTCCGCTCTTCTCCCTTCCTAGTTCAGCAGATGGAGTGTTTGGGAGTGTCTACTTTAGATAGAGTACAAAGGGACAGGTGGGCGAGAGGATGCAGCTGGAGAGGACCCATCCTTGGAGCGTAAGCATGACAGCAACACTTTTCATATAGACCAAATCAAAGGCCACAGAAGCCTGGAGAAACCCTGTCCCATATTTGATTAATTCAAAGATAGCTTCTAAGACATTTTTTACTACAGGATAAAGAATTGTTAAATAATTTTTTTTTTTTAATGAAAACCACACTCCTATTATACTCTGGATACAGTTCGCTATACTTAATAAAAAATAATCTGTGTACTTCTCAACTTATGCTCTCGGGGCTTGAAAAAATCAGATATGGAAAAATAAACATGGAAGTGGCATTCTGAATACTTCTCTTTATTGTGCACTTCTTCCTTCATGTGCTCTATTAAAAAGATACTCAAACAGATATTGGCCAAAGATACTCAACATCAACGTGGAATGAATGTGCTTCCAATCAGTTTGGCAATAGTGCCCTTTTTTTCATTCTCTCAAATAAGCAGCAGGGCATGGCTAGACTTGACCTGGGAGTCATGGTCTACATGGACCTAAGTTACTGTTTTTGTGTTGTCAAAATCAGCTACAATGACATGCTTTCTGCAAGAGGCCCAAATCCCAGCAGATGGCGGTACCCCAAATGCAGGGACTGAGGGACAGGAAGTAATCATTTTTGCTGTCAGCACTGCTGCACAAGGAAGTCAAAGATTTAAGTCACTTGTCTGCTTTAGTCCTGGGGCAAGTGATGGTGTTTCGGGTTAACCGTGTTAAACTGGGACTTACACGGAATGGGAGAAACACCTGCTTGGCATGAATTTGTAAGAATCTCTCTAACGTGTTATCATTGAACATCCTTTCCCCTGTTTATTTCATCAGCAATTTATTTTCAAATTTAGAATTTGATAACTCTAATATGCTTCTATCTGTGAAGAAAAATGAGATCTTTGTTGGTGATCGATGAGGCTTTCCCAAATTTAATCTATGGGTTGCACATCCCCGTGTTCTTCACCGAAGGCTATCCTTGTTAGCTCTGATAACTCCTATTTCCTCTTCAGTCATCTGAAGCTAATTACAGCCACTGTTTACTGCAGAAGGAATCAATAGCTTTCTACAGTAGATCACATAGAATCAGACCCAGATGCAATTAGTCCAATGTAGATACACAGAGATACCTTAATTAAAACAAAATATGGTAAGAGATATGCTCTCATGGAGGACCGGAATTCCAAATGTTTCGACACATTTAATGTGTTTATTCAAAGTAAGAGTCTTTATGAAACCTTTCACTAATCAAATTTGTTTGATAAATTTTCCTTGAAAACATTGTGAACTGAAAAAACACAGTATTTAGTATTATACATTTATGTTTATTAACATTTGGATATAAATGTACTTCAAACACCAATAGCGCTAAAAGACTATGCCTTTATCTTGGATTGAACAGATTTCCCACCCCAGTGATTTGATTAATTCTTACAAGGCAAACATCAGCGGGCAAAGGGGATCAGTATGAACTGTGCACCTTGGGTCCCTCCTCCAGCCCCTCTACCGATGTGGGGAGAAGTAATGCTCCCAGCACTCTATTCAGGTGGATTCTCCTATTCTCTACTCAGTGTTGGAGAAGCATGGCTCCTAGCACTCGATCACTGTAGATTCTGAATGTCACCATCAACCAGACTTCAAAAGTGCACTTCAGGGTCTACTTGTTTAAGGATGAGAATGATGGAAGGTGATATGCAGTGAACAAGCCAGATGCCTCGTTTCCAGAGTCCTGTTCTGGTCCACGTATCTTTGCCGGCCAACTCATCTCTACAGGCCTATCGTTGGTCCTCTTGATCCACAAGCCTTTCTTTCCACAGAGTCAGTCACAGTCTGTCATGGAGGACACATAACAAGATGCGTGTAGATTCCTGATGACCTTCAGACCAAATCCCTCCAAACAGTGGCCCGGTCATCACCGTTGAGAGTCAAGACAACCGTTAGGAAAACAACTGTGTGCCCTGGCATGGATCTGCTTCAGAAAAGAGGGCGGCATGTTCCTGTCCCCCAGCCCAGTCAAACCTGCCTTTGTCAAGTAACCTGGAAACCAAGGTACTGGATTATGTCAACTGCCACAGGGGCCACCGGCTGTTGCAGAGCGTTTACGAGTGGCCGCCAGTTTCCTCACAGGTATGCACGTCTGCATTCCAAGAAATGATAAAAGACAACACTTGGCTGCTCTGTTTCCTCCTGCCTGGCCACAGTTACGTGATGCAGAGCTTTCTGCTAAAGCATGAGGCCCCTCAGAGTCTGCTTTTTGAAAAGCTGTCTTCGTGAAGTTAATATTGGAGCTAACACTACTTACGAGAGGAAAACGAGCTCCATGTATTTTGTATTAAATCATCAGTAAAAAATGAAGACAATATCATTACTTTCAAAATATAGAAAGCCAATAGCTGAAATCATTTAGTAGTAAAATTTTTTTTTCTACATATAACCTCATACTTGTAAAGAGTATTAGAGTGACATGTCAGCTATATTTGACTCTGGTTAGTTAAAGGGCTTCTCCCTCATGTAAGGCTTGGGAGAGTGTTGTTCAGTGATCAAGGTACTGCAGAGTTTCAAGCACACTTGCCCCCTCTATTCTGACTAGAAGACAGACACTACATTTGGATGGGACAGGTGTCCTTTGTTTGGTAGGAGAGTGTAGAACTCTTCACAGTACACAAACAGTGTGGAAAATGCCAGTACATACAGAAAGGTGAACATTGGCGCAAGCTTGTTTGTACTAAGTCCATCAAGATCCTCTGGATGAGGATCTTTGCTTTGTGACAAAATAAGCTTGTGCCCACCCATGTTAGGCTAAAGTGATGTCATCAGAAACCAAAGCCATTATAGGAGATATGGAAAGATTCTTTAGAAATACTAAGTCCTTGCTTTGCTAGGAAAGGCCAAAGTTAAATTGTTAAAATCATCCCTATCCTCATCACGTCAAACATGGGCCCAGTTGGTTTTATAGCCAAATTTATGCACTGCCCCTTGACAACACAGCAGGCCCCAAAGCCTTTTCAATATGGAATGTAGGACTGTATCAGTTAGCCCACAGAAGCCCTAAGGATCACAAGAAGATTTCTTAAAAAAAAAAAAAAAAAAAAGAAAGGAAAAAAAGAAAAAAGAAACAAAGAACAAAGAAAAAGTTCCAGTTGGATGAAACTGTTTTTGCAGTGTCTCAACTGAGCTCCTAAAACTGGAATTTCAGATATACAAGAGGACAGGAAACAGATAGCTTGGTTTTTGTCTTTTTACGTGTCCATATTGTTGTTTAAATGCGGCTACGATGTTTCTGCCAAAGATAAAGATAATAAGGTGGACAGAGTGGTTACCACCAGAACCTGCAGTGGGCTCAGACCGCAGCTTGAAGGAGCAGCCATTGATTTTGTGGTTATGTGGCTGGAAGGACCAGCGAGACCATTCTTTTCATAATCACGCTGTAAGAGAGAATATTTTCATTGTCACCCACTGCATGTATTCCTCCTATCCCAGTATATTTTAACCACGCTCTTTCTCTCTCCCACCCTCACCTCCAACTAGCTATAGCACTCATCAAAGCTGACCCAAGCTAGGACCACAGAGACTTCAATTCACTGACTTGTAGTTTTACGGAAAGGAATCATGAATCTGGGTGAGAACTGGATATACAGACTTCTATAGTTTATGATAAACTGGCCAACACTTGCTTCTTGCTCCTCCACTATGGATTACTGGAATCCACTTGTGGGACAGCTTTGCATCTTCCTTCACTCCTACCTTCTGGATCTCCCTGTGGCTAGGGCAACATGGAATGCTTCTCCTGGTACTGACTGAGGAGGAAGCCTGTTGTCCCTCCCCATCCGGGAGGAAGGGCAGGAATAATCATCTCAGAAAACTGGTCCAGGCAAGTATCAGTTCACTTGGAGATGGGCCACAAATCGCATTGAGATGGGCAGGGCAGTCAGCAACTTTTCTCTCCATTTGCCCTTTCAACCCTAGATTTTCTAGATGAAGGAGCCTGCCCCGCTCATCAGCTGGAGAGCCCACACCAGATCTCTGGCTTCCGGACTCCCAGTTGGCACAGCTGTCCTTCCCTAAGACGGGTGCCTCCATCCCCACCACAGTACCCACTCAGTCCCATAATGCCACATCCAGCCACAATGATCGGCACGTGACAGCATCATTCATCTCCTCTGTAAAACGGGGAGAAGAATGGGGCCTGCCTCAGCTGCGGAGGTCAAAGGAACCGTAGACAGAGGACCTCTGGTAAGCAGTGAGAGTTGCTGAGTGTCTTCTCTGTGCGGGCTGATTCTACAGGACTGTGGTCACATAGTGTCTGGCATTGGAACAATGGTATTTGTGCGGGGTCTGGCTCTGAGATGAGGATCCTGGGTCCCACATGTAGTTGGAACTTTGTGCACTGGGATGCAAAGACCTCACTTGGCTCAAAGTGCAGAGGGACATGGAGGGTGCTTTAGATCTTTTTCCTAGACCTGAAACCTCATTGTCTTTGAGCCTTTACATCCTCACCAAGGGCCCAAAGGCTCTGTGTCTGGAAATGCAGGAAGACCCAGAGAGAAACATAACTTACATCAGAAAGACAGAGGTGTGTACTGCCGGACATATTGGATTTCAGCTTCTGTGCCTGGGGAAAGACAAACACACACACACATAAAATCACTCATATACAGTATGGAATAATGATTACCAATGATCCACTAATCAGTTGTCTAGGGCAGGGCCATTGATAGAAATATGTGAGCCACATATATGAGCCCATACATAATCTTAAATTTTCTAGTAACCACATAAGAGATAAAGGTGAAGATAATTGTGATAACATGTTTTATTTAACCCAATATATCATCATTTCAACATGTAATCAATATAAAAAGTTATTAATGAGATACTTTATTTTTTCATACTTAAGTCTTCAAAATCTGGTGTTTGACACTGCACATCTCATTTCAGACCTGCCCCATTTTAGAGTCTCAGAAGCTACCTGTGGCTGGTGGCTAGTGGGGGGTAGCACAAGACCAGGTTACTAAAGACAAAGTTTTGTTTTTGCTTTCGCTTTTTGTTTTTTTCGAGAGGGGAGGGGAGATAGAGCATTGGGGAGGGGAGGGGCAGAGGCAGAGGCAGAGGGAGAAAGAGGATCTGAAGCAGACCCCACACCCAGCACAGAGCCCAACATGGCGCTCGATCTCATGATCCTGAGATCATGACCTGAGCCAAAATCAAGAGTCGCACACTTAACCGATGGAGCCACCCAGGCGCCCTAAGATGAAGCTTTGAAGTCATTCATATTCAGAACTCATTTATATCTCTGAATGTTCATTTTGGGGACATGACTTTGAGGTAAAAATGTCGCAATAAAAATCCACATTCATTAGTAATATAGAGATAGGTCTTCTGAAGCTTGTTTATTCATTTGTTTTATTCATTGTCTCAGTCAACAAGCACAGAGCTATTTTCCAATGCTGGACATCAGGTGATAGGACCAAAAGGATATGGTTGCTGGGCTCATGGGGCTGCCCTCTAGTTGAGTAAACCACTCAGGGCTTGGGAGTTATGGCACAGGACAGAGATTCTTTTTTTTTTAAAGATTTTATTTATTTATTTGAGAGAGAGAGAATGAGAGAGAGAGCATGAGAGGGGGGAGGGTCAGAGGGAGAGAAGCAGACTCCCCGCCGAGCAGGGAGCCCGATGTGGGACTTGATCCCAGGTCCCCAGGATCATGACCTGAGCCGAAGGCAGTCGCTTAACCAACTGAGCCACCCAGGCGCCCCACAGGACAGGGATTCTTATAGACGGATCCCCTGGAGGAAGAATGGCAGTGGCTCCCTGTCTCCTCACATTGGAACTAGTCCCCACTGAGCTTCTACCAGAGAACTGAGTTGAAGGAAAGTTTCCATTGCTCAAACAATTACAATAAGACCTGTTGACCCAATACCGCCCTTTTGTTTTGTAGAAGAAAACAGAGTCCAGTGAAATTAAGTGACTTTTCCAAGGTTACATAGCAATTTACTGGTAGAGTCAGGATATAGACCAGGTGTCTAAAACTTCTGAAAGAAAATGTGCTCTTTCCTCCATTACAGTGTTTCTTCCAGGCAATCCTGGCATGCTTGACTCTTCATGCTCTACCTGCCCCCAAATCCATAAGAAGAACCGCCCCCCCTTGAGCATCTTCCCCCAAAGGAGGAGCCTGTTAGCACCAAAGACAGAGAGCTCATGTGCCAATAGGATGACTCTGGTCAAGCATCACACCTGAATCAAGGAGTGTCTGGGCAACCAGCTCTGAGTGAATGGCAATGGGCAGGCTGCCTGGTGTAAGAAGACTTCTGGAACTCGTTGGAGACATGCTAGGCTGATGATGGCATATTCACCCAAGGAGTAATTTATTGACCATAATGCTACTTGGGAGGCATCATAATCTTTACCTATATTTGCATATACCAGCTGTGAATATGAAATAGAAACCTTTAAACAGGCATCAAGAATAAGACACTGTGAAGCATCCCCAGGCTATTCAAAGGTCACTAAATGTTATGTATAAGAGGATCAGAGGAGAAATGGGAAGAGGAATTGAACCTTACCCAAAAGCCTACTTTTAATCTATAGTAATAGCAGATCTGGTCCATTGCATTGTTACCTGCAGAGAATAATGTACAGAACTTTACATGTTTTATTTCTGTTCAAGATTGGAATTGTGCCCGGATACCAAAATGGCCTTAAAACATCACATTCTCTTTTTTCTTTGTGAGGCCATAATCTACAAAAGACATAAACCCTTGCTGTGGGCCTTTGCATAACTAAGAAGTTCACTAAAATGTGCAGAGAAAGCAGCCTGACTTTTAGTCTGAGACACATTATGCCTTCAAGTTGTTTCTGGGCTTATGCCTCCATGTTCTAAACCACAGGCCTTTAAGTTCTAAGGGTCAGGCAGGCCTCCTTCTTACTTTGTTCTGTATGATTAGCACTGGAATGTAGGTTTTTACTCACTACGTACACAATCCGAGACACTCATTAGCTATACTTAGTCACTTCAGGAATGTGTCGAAATACTAGTTCAATGCCCATCATTATTAGATAATTATAAAGGGGCTTCTACCAATGGATAAGAAAAGTCTTCTGTCTTAACAGATTGTCTTAAGTGGACTCTAGATCTGCAGAGGTAGATTTCTGACCCTCACTGGTCACCGACGGTTTCACGCAGCATGCAGGTCTACAGGCTTGCAGGCTCTTGCCTTCCATCTGGAAAGAGCGGGGATTACTGCTCTGTCACACAGGAAAATACATTTAAACCAGCTCCAGGTCTATAAAGTCTCTGAGCTCTTTTCCCGTCAAAGCAGGCATCTTGTTGGCATCTATCTAAAGGAAATGGTCAGCAAGAGGCCTTGTCTCCCTATAGCCCCACTGGCTTCACTAAAACTAGAGGCAGCATCTCCAAGCTCATCTTGCCTCGAGGACCATTCCTGTTGGCATAACTGGATAACCTGCAGAGCAAAGGTAATAATGTACACCCAGGCCCCTGCAGAGGCTCTGAGAAAATGCCTTCTCTCCTGTTAAGCACCTTCCCAACCCACCAAAGCACTTAGCACTCCAGAGGCTCAGCAGTGTACGCACAGAGGCCTTTAAATGCTCTGCTTACACAGTGTATTAACACAGCTTCCCAATGAGAGGTCTGGGTAGAAACTCCCAGCACCACAGAAGCACAGCAGAACAGCCCTGGATTTCCACCTGAACTTCGCAGGGACCACAGTAAGGTCCGGCGGTCTGATGAGAAGGTGAAGGGCAAATGTTACCAGTTATTGGACGAGCAGGTGGCACCTGGGTAACAGAATCAGAAGACTGCTCATAGACATGAGATTTTTTCCCAGCAAACCTGAAGTGCATACGGACAAGATGAGGGCCGTGGGTCTGCTGCCTAGACTCGCTAGCATCAAATATAGGTGGAGCATTACCACACGGGGCGTCTGGTGCCTCTAAGGGTTTGTAAGGTGCACATGGAGGTGCAGAGCCTGGGAATTTAGACCCGTGTATGTCTGGCTGGTTGCATGCTTGTGAGTCTTGTATGCAGTCCGAATCCATCTGGTGACGCTGAAGGTCAGAAATCTCCTATGTAGATCCAGAGTCCACTTAAGGAAATCTGGCTCTTAGAGCTCATTTTAGAAGGCTGAGCAACCTGTTATTTCCACATTTGAAGGGCTTTTATCCTGAGCATTTCTGGCAACATCAACAAGCTATCACTGTCTTGCTAATCAGATAGGATAAATGCAAACATAGAATTACAGGGTGGCCCCCACCGTCAACTATTGCAAAGAATGCTTACATACTTTAAACATCGTTTCACAGGTGATAAAAATGGGGAGGGTCCCAGGAAAATTAAAAAAAATAATAACAAAACTTCCAAGACCTTGTAAGTTATAAGAAGAAACAAGAAGAGTACTTCTTACTGCTGAGCCCTAACCCCGTACAAAGGGTAGAGTAAGGGAGTGCCGGCTCAAGGTCCTGTCTGTGGGCCCAGCAGCCTTGCTCATTAACGACATTCGCAGGGACCCAGCACATAGCGTGGCCAGCCCAGACCCGACACCAAACCTTACAGTGCGGCTTTAAAATATGACATTTCCTAAAAAAAAAAAAAAAAGAAGAGAGAAGGATAAAGAAGAGAAGAAGAGGGTGGATTTCATTTTCTAAAAGTCCATTTTAACTACAGGTACGACATGTTGAACAATGAATTCTTTCATCTCTTTTAGGAAAGAGTGTTTCCTAGCAGCTAATTCATACTTCTGTGGTTATGGGGGAAACCACCTGACTCTGAGAGGAGGGGAAACATCACCAGCAAACCATGGGACCACAAGGTTTCCATCTCGAGGATGGGGAGATGAAAGGGACTGGTGAAGCCCATCTCCAGCCCAGCAGCCTTGCTGTCATTGTGGAAAACTGGAGAACTTGTATTCAGGCACCTCCTAAGCCTTGTCCCTCCAGCAGTGTTGTAGAATTGTCGCTGGCAGTAATCTGCTAGCCCAGGCACGTAATAGAATTTCCACAGCACTGTAACTGTAGGGCCAGACCTCGCCAGTCCCTGGCACCAGAGGGTTAATAAATGCATTAGATGCTGTTAACCTCCGTTACCTGGAGTCAGACCTATGACGCTCCTGCTTTTTACCCCAGTGATTAGCATTTGGAAAGTCTGCCCCGGAGCCAGTAGCCTTCCTGTTCAGAGCGCACAGACACATGCCTCGCCGGGAGCCCTCCATCCAGAGCCCTCCCCCTGCCCTGGGACACGGCATAGACACATGAGCTCTGCCCGCAGTAGGCTCTCCCAGAGCCTCGGGGAGGAGGCACGCTTTGGAGGCGCACACTTGCTCTGTTTATGGACTCGGAGACTTAAGAGCGCCCCGAAGCGGAGCCTGGTCTTTGCGGCCCCAGGACTCCGTTTCTATAGAGAAGTCAGGGCTTTATCTCGGGGTTTTAGGCAGCTGTCAGCCAGCAGGGCGTGGAACATTTCTCTACTCTCCGCCACGAATAAGGGGAGCCAGTTTCTGCTCTACCTCCAGAAAATAAAACCAGAGGAAGTTGCCCAATCCAATAGCAACAGCCTGTCCAGGCTGCAGCCAAATGGTCATAATTAATGATGCTTCT